TCTCTCTCTCTCTCTCTCTCTCTCTCTCTCTCTCTCTCTCTCTCTCTCTCTCTCTCTCTGACCTCCTTCCTTTTTTTCTTTCCCTCCTTCCTTTTTTGACTGAACCCAGAGCCTTTATTCACACTGAGCTATATCCCCAACCTTAAATATTATATTTTAAGATGGGGATCGGAGATATAGTTCACCAACATAAGTACTTGTCTGGCAAGCCCAAGGTCCTGAGTTCGATCCCTGGTACCAACAACAACAAAAAAGATGAGGTCTTGTTACATGGCCCAGGCTGTCCCCATATTTGTAATGCTCTTGCCTCAGCCTCTGGGAGTGTTGGGACCACAGATGACATGCTCTACCACACCACCTATCTCTCTGGTCGTCATCTCGTCACCTTCTGCTGCTCCCTTGTGCTCCATATCTCCCCCCACTTCTCAGCCCTGCCCCTCTCTACCCCTGCACCATGGGCCCTTGTGCCCCTGGAGCACTTGCAGGGTCTCAGGCCCCTGGAATTGCTCGAGAATTGCGTCTAGTTTCCTGCCCAGGTCTCCAAAGCCTGAGTTCTGAAGCTCAGGGCTAAGTCTGTCTTGCACACCCTGGACCCTCAGTGTTGGGACTGCGTGCAAGTTCTGCACACACACACACCCATCTCTTCTTTGCTCCACTTCTGCGCCCTGATCCAGACAGCAGGACCTCGGCCCTCTGAGTCTCAATTTCCCCATCGAAAGTGGGGAAAACACCTTCTGATGTTTTGAAGGTTAAGAGTGCAGGTGTTCAGCGTCTGGCAGGGAACAGCTTTGCCCTGCCTGACCATAGGGCTTCAGAGGCTAAGGGCAGTGTATGGGCCTGTGGTGACCTCCCCAGCTCTGTCTGGACCCTGGGCAGAATGAGCTGCTGTCTCCAGTGTGCCGTGAAGCCCTTGGGAGGGAAAGAGACCGAGCCCAGGGAAAGGTGGGGTGTTCCAGGCAGACACCCTCATGGACAGGACAAGCCCAGGCTCCAGCAGTAGCCAGTGGGCAGAGGAATAGCAGCATGTGTCCTGTCTCATGGAACTACCAGGCCCTTCTTCGCATTCCAAACTGTGTGAGACGAGCTGTGAGCAAGGTGCATTCCCTGCAGTGCTGGTATGGGGACAAGGCTCTGGAGGGCCAGGCTCGCGGGGGTCAAGGGCAGAGCCCGTCAGAGCCAACTTCTAACAGCATTGCGCTCCTCTACACCACTGTTTCCCCCTCTATAAAATGGGGCCAGAAGGTGGCATCCTGGCTGTGCTAGGATTTTTCTGTCCACCAGATGTGACTACCCATCAGTTTCTCACCTATAAAATATTAAACTGAGGCCAGTGATTGTATCTCGTTGGCTACCTCCTCTGGCTTTTGGGGACCAGAGAGAACACAGCCCTTGCCCCCATCCAGATGCTTCAGGAAACTGGAGATGCATCCCCCACAAAGCCAAGGAAGCAGCTGGTAACTTGGGACAGTCCTGCGTAAGTCACCTCTGAGCAGTGGTCTCACCTCCTCTTAAGCCCATTTCCTCATCAGTCTGTGTGTCAGCTCCAAGGGGAACCAGGAGCTCACAGAGCCCTGTGGAAAACCTTAGGTGGTGTAACTATGTTATCATTTCCGCAATTCGCTTAGCTTGGAATTCTACCTCTTCTCTGTATTCCTAAAACAAACAAACAAACAAAAAAAAAAAACTGGTTGAGCATTCCAGCTTGATCAGGCACTTTTTCCTGGTCCAGTCAACTAGGAAGTAGAGGGAGGTGACAGAGTCGGCAACCACCAAATGAGGACTCGGGAGTCTGGGGCTGACAGCTCCCTGTAAGTGACTACCAGCCGCTGGTTGGACCTTGCAGCTGAGTGTGCTGCTGGCAACTCAGAGAAGGGCTGCTGGCCCGAAATCTGGCCACAGGCACACGCCTGCCACCCACGATTCAACCATAACTTGTGGACTCCACAAGGGGCCGAGGCTGGAGGGCCCTGTGAAGATCCACCTCTCCCTTCTCCCTCTATGAGTGCTTGGAACTGCCGGGTCACTCAGCAGGAAACACAGGGCCAGAAAACCTTCCACAGAAAGTGCGCTTCCCCTCCCGTTTAAATCAGGCAGATGGCGCTGCTGTGCGGAGAGGCAGCCCTGGGAGGGGCACAGGCTGCAGTCAACCCACATCGGACACCTGCACCTACAGGAAGTCAGGGGGTGCCAGGCACAGTGGTACACACCCGTGATCCCAGCTCCCGGGCAATTTAGTGAGACCCCCATCTCAAAAATTAAAAAAGGGATGCAGAGATAGCTCAGTGGTAGGGCACTGGCCCAACATGCACCAGAGCCCCAGGTCGATCTCCTGTACTGCAAAGAAAACTTGCATTTGTTGTGAACCATGTAGCGGGAGTCATTTGTTACTGCAGTGTAACCCACGGAGAGCTGACTAATACGCTGGCAGTTGTAAGGCCTGTAACTAGCAGCTAATCTTAGGTTGTTTCATTTCAGTACAGCATGAGGCCCCCGGCTGAGGTTGTCAGAGCAGAATTTATGAACAGCCACGTTCAGAGAAACATAAAAGTATTTTTCTTTTCTTTTACAGCTGTATAGGGAGTCCCCACCCCAGTTGTTGCTCTGCATCCACCCGGTGGGTGGCGCTGCGTTGCCTTTGTGATGACAAGCGGGCTAGGTGCAGACCCACCCAGAGACCGGGCTGGGGAACCGGCAGGGACACGTGTGCAGAGCGCGCCTTCCCCAAGCCGTGGCCTCACTTGGCGGCTGGGAGAGGCTCCGGGGAGAGAGCTAGGGCTCTGCCACAGACGGATGTCACAGAGTGTGGCACCTCCACTTGGTGACAGGTCATACTGCTGAAAGAGTGAGCTGTCATTGGGGAGGAAAAACGGAGGCTGGACCCCTCCCCGGGATTCCAGGTGAGGATCCCCAGGGCAGGGCCCCGGCTGTAGGGTGCAGCCCTCTGCCTGGGCACCGAGGGCTGGAGTTGGGGCTGGGACCCGCTGGCCAGGGATGCATAGGTGGAGACTACTGCCCTGCAGAAGCAGATCGCTGCCCTGCAGACCCCAGGTCCCAGGCCAGTCGCGCTCCCCCCTCCTTACCCCACCCCAGTGATCCTGGCTCCCACAGGTGTCCCGGAGGTCCTGGGATGAACTTCCTTGCAAACGGTCCTTGGCTGCCAAGGATCCCCTGGGGAGGATGGAGGGACAGAGGAGAAGGATGCAAGATCAGCCACGCTGAAGGGACCAGGCCTTCTGAGCTGGAGA